AAGTCATTATTTACTACTCAACGTGTCCAAAAAGTATAAAAAGGCCAATTGTAATACACTTATCCATATGTCCAAGTTGGAGAAAATAACGAATAATAACACATTTGGAAAAACATTTAAAGTATTCTCAATGTTTTAGTTTTTAGCCACTGTGCAGCGTCATGGATCAGTTCTGAATCAGTCTTTTGTCTCAGTAACAATAAGAGTATTCTTCACACTCATCCTGGTTTTAAGACCCTAATTAACTCTCAACACAGTGGATAAATCCAAGATAAAACACGGATTTACCTTAGTTTCTAAATCTGTGCAGAGTGGAGCGAGCTTCTCTTCTTCCTCCGACTGGGAGCAATTGTAACTGCAATGACAAGAGAGAGAAAGAGATCAGGATAAGCAACATTAAGAGAATAAAAACAGGTGTACTAAATACTAACTCATCAAAGAGCTTGAACTGCACATACTTCAGGTTGATGGATGCATAGCGTAGAGTTGCTCCTTCAAACTCCTTCAGACTTTGATCAGATGCAACCTCTCCCTCCTCCTGAAGACACAGAACACAGTTCACAATGGAAATTTAAACTTATCCCAATTAGAGGTTGTTAACTTGACAGACAACATTCACTTGTTCTAATATTATATATATTATAATAATGATTTTCAGCATTGGGAGAGCGGGGGATTTAAAGTTATATCCATTCAGATTCGATTAATATAGCTGAGTGAATATGCTCAGAATGAATCCAAAACGACTTGTTGTCGCCAAAATGTGAAAATATTTACAAACTCATCTGCCATGTATTTTGAGCACACTCAATTACATTCCTGCCACGACTTACCCTCCACAGTTCCCCTTCACCAGCTCCTTCATCTGTGCTGGAAAGCTGAGCCCAGGATTCCTGGCAAATTCAACACAAGATATGAGACTCTACATATTTACATGCCATTGCTTCTTCTATCCAAGCAAAATGCATGTTAGACCTCACCTCAGGCTCCTCACAGGGTGTAGTCTCCAGGGACATCGTCGAGGACATCATGGAGTCACCGACTTTACCCAGGGGTGAAGGAGGCTCCCACTGGGTGGTGCCTGTGGGGATGTGCCAGTAGTATGTGCCCGATGTATCTCGCACCCTCATCCATCCTGAAGGCAGGTCAGTGTCTGTCTCAAAAGCACTGGAATCCCAAAAGGACTCTGAAAGGCAGAAGGCAACGTGGAAACAGAGGAAAGGACAAATGTTTCTGTTTGAAACACTCTGACCATGTAGGAAGAGGACAAAACAAAGATTCTGCAAAACGTCACCGTCAACAACAGACAGCGAGATTAGATTATGAACTACTTTGCTATATTTAACTACTGTACGTCTCTATATACTTAAACAGAACTGAATACAGACTGCACTGGCATCACCACCTGACTACTAATACACAGGATTTAGTGTTGAATCCCACTCCAATATAAGATCAATATAATAACAATATATTCATTAGAAAACATTCCTGATTTAGCTTCAATTTGTTTTAAGATTACTGAGTGTACTTAAGGGCCTTGGGCTCATTCTTTAGGCCAAAAAGGACTTTAATCTTAAATCTGAAAGAAACGAGTACAATCAATGCCCACAACAAATAAAGAGAAAGATTTGCAGCACAGACAAGTTAATCTACCATACATGCCAGGTCTGTTAACATCTTACTTTAACCCTTTTACCATTTATAAGCAGTATTCAACCACTTGACAAAAAGTGTATAACACACTCTTATGTATAGCTGTAAGGACATTTTAAACTTTTTAGTAATATACAGTATCTCTCACAATTATAACTCCTCCTGCGAAGGCATATTTGATATTACTACTGTGTTTTACTTTATCGTCATTCATTCTTCGATTATACAGCATCCTCCACTTTTGTGTGCTCATGAACACAACTACATTATAGTGTGTTAGAAACCATTAATGTGTACTGCTTGCAAATTGCCTAATGAGGGACTACCGTTAAGTGCTTTATCCGATCGACTCATCTCCTCAATGCTCTGTATATCCGTAGTTTTTCTTGTTTTCACCATGTCTTCTCCATCTATAAAGCTGGTGCAGCATTTTTTAAGTATTCAAACGCCTGTTGTCTCCTACCATCCATGTGAGGCCTAAAAGTCAACTCTATGTACTTCTCTTTACCTCTGTTGCCATTGGGAGAGCTGTCGGCCGTGTTGTCCTGAGACACTGCAGGCCAGCTGGACTCTTCCTCATTTGGCGACCCGTTCATGTTGGAGAAGAGGAGGCAGGGATTTCTCCCCACAACACTGGCCTCCCTCTGAGTCTCCACGTCGCTCGGTTCTTCTGCCACTCCTCTGGTACCGCCCGATGTCTCTTCATCATCCTCCGATGTCTTCTCCTTCTCTTTGCCATCTTCCTCTCTCTCCTTCTCCTTCTCTTCTGTAGACTCCAGAGTGTCGATGAGTAGCGGCTCATTAAGGATGTTCTTGGACTCCTCCTGACTGAGACCCGGGGTCATTGCTATTTTGGGAGACTTGGTCTGCTCCTCGTTTCCCTGTTGTTCTTCCTGAGTGGTGGTCTGTTGGGGGAAGTCTTCCTTGTTCCCATTCTGGCTGATATTGCAGTTGTGGTCCTGGTCCTGCTGGTTCTCGGACACTTTCCGCAGCTGGTTCTGGCCTTCTTTGAGCCACTTGGCATTGTTACCAGTTGACTCCTGGTCGCACCAGTGGCTGCTGTCATTCAGCTTGTTCTTCAGCTCTTCCTCTTGTTTCTGTTTATTTACAACATACGACATATCTTCATCATCATGGCCACCCATGGTAACTTGGAGAGAGAGAGGGAGAGAGAGAAAGAGAGAGAGATTGGTTAGCATGCTAGCTAGCAGGCTAGCGATTGATACTGGTGCGATTAAGTCAAGAGTTTTTCTCTAAAATACGATGAAAATATACTCGGAAGTGATAACGATGTCAATGTCGCTATAAAATGCAAAAGTCACAATTCAGCGTTAAAAGCTACTGGCATCATTTCGATCCAAAAACTGAAGTGAGGTTCTCGTTCGATATTCCGGGTTGTCCATTACAACCGCTACTTCCACGGTTGGATTTTTCGGACGAACACGAAGCGTACTTCATCAGCTTCACCTTCCATTTGCCAACACGACCTTTTTTTTTTTTATTACCTTTTAGACACCGAGCTCAAAGTGGAGCCCGTCGGGAGCTCAGTGCACCATTTCACACCCGTGAGCTAAAAACACAAAGGCCAAAAGCAAACCGCATACTAAAACACAACGATACGAATCAGGGTTGTAAAATAACGGGATCCATCCGCCATCATCGCCGTCGTCATTTTGCGGCTAGGCTAATGTTAGCTCCTCGGCTAAAGCTAAACTCCAAAGCAGAATAAATCAAAGCAAGCGATTCGCCAAAAACGTGCGTCAAGAAATGTGACTTACCAGCTTCCACTAAACCCCCCCTTTTTGTCGAAATAGGCTGCACTGTGCGAGCTAACTACATATTTTCCATGAATCGTGCGGGCTCGCTCCGTTTTCTTGGTGCTGTTTTCTGCCAGCGGGCTCGGCTGCTGATGGAGGGCGAACCTGCGTCACGGATTAACGTCACGGCCCACTGCTGCCGCTCTCATGAACTTATAATAAAATGACTTTGATACTGGGTTTTTCTTTTTTTTTGGACATATTGATCCGGATCCGGTGCTGCACATTTTTTATAAAGCTTCTCGGCGTTAAAATCGTATAAAATGCATGATATTTGATGGATATAAAGCTTAATGCCAAGTTGTTGTTGTTGTTGTTGTCTACTCCCAAAATAACCTGTGGAAAACAGCTGCAGGGCATCTGGATCAGATCCTATTAACTATTCATGTACCTTTTAAACTATAGAAAAATTAAAACGTGACTCTTTGGATGTATTGTTTACTGCAACTGTGAATCAATAAAAAAATAATTAAAAAAAGAATATTTCATTACTTGCGTTAACTAACATTTATAACTGCTTACTTAAGTTTATTAATGACAAATTGACATTTATAACAGAAGATGACTCATTAGAAACCAGTGACACTTGTTTAATATTTTTATTTATTAGACTTAATACCTTATTAGAAAGTAAGAAACTATTAGTGGCTCATCACCAGGTAGAGATTTTTCACAACCTGGCTGTCGAAAAGTTGTTCTTTATTCTTCATATATGCAGGGTGACTACTTTCTTACTTTTTTTAATAGACATGCCCAAAAGGGAAATGATAAAGTAACAAGGTATAAAAGGTTATTTCTGGAATTAAATCTTTAATAAATTCTTTTTTTTATTTTTATTAATTCATATTTATTTAGATGAGTAACCTAAACTCACTCATAAATACATCGAAAATAGATTAGGAACACACATTTACGTATGAAATATTGAGCTGAGATAATATTAAATAATAATTTAGCTTGGGTATTCTAAAAATAATAAATAAAAGGTGCTCTACTGTTTCAGTATTTGAAAATGTAACTTAATTTGATAAATGAAATCTTATTGATTAGAAGGATCATTTTTATTCACTTTTTTAAAATGCCCCTTGCTTTGGAGGTAATGATGGTTAATTAAGATATTTACTTATCCATCACTTCACTGAATATTTAACTTTTTTTTTAAATTAAAATAAGATTCTGGAAAATATTCAATACTTAGTATTTTTACATACTAAGGCCATAATGAGCCTCCTCATAAAGATATTATTAAATTATTGTTCTTGCGTGTTGCCATTAGTCAGTGATTGTAGCATCATCAGTTCCAGCTAAAAGATACATATTTACCATAAAACATTAATGCCTTTTCTGCTATTTTTTATGAGATTCTACCCTACAAAAAGATGACAAAAGTACTATTACACACAAAGCTAAATTTAAGCCGTTAAATGACATTGGCCTGATATTGATGTTGCTTTGTAATGCTGATGTTTCTCATAAATTACTCATCGCTGACCCAATAATGTCCAACCCCAACTATAAATTCACACATTCAAGTTGCCCATATTTGTCCTTTTTAATATACTTATATATAAATACATACATTTGTATAAGTCATTCTTGATTTTGGCTTCAATCTGTGATTCAGCACAAACAAGCAAAGCTGGTGGAGGCACAGAAAC